CTCACAGATATAAATAAAACATTAAAAAAAAAATGACCTATTTGTGCCCAGCCTCCCTGTCTGCCCCTTCCATATTCCCGTGTGTTGCAGGGGCTGAAAGGCTGAAGACTACCTTTCCCAGCCCCCACTTGCTGGACACAACCGCTCCACCAGAGGAAGGCAGTTATGCTCACCAATACCCACTACTGCTCCACCAGAGGGAAGCACCGTAGGGGTGAGCTGGAAGGTAGAGGGAGGCAGAGGCCATTCTTCCTGCAGTGTGGTGGCTGCTGGCTGGGATCTGGCAGACAGGAGTTTCCACGGCAGCAGGATGCTGTGTTCCTTCGATTTTCTTGTCACCACTTAATGGACGTGCAATTAGGATACTGACAAGAATTTCCTACAAGGTGGCAGCTGGGATAGTGTGACCTACCACAGGGCAGAGTGTGCCCTCACCTCCATGCCTCCAGATCTTTCTACATTTAATTCCCTACATTGAATATCTTTCTGTACAAAATACCTAGAGTGTGGTTTTCTGTTTCCTGCACTTCACCTTGACTGGTTGGGCTTCCTCACCTCTACCATATACTATCCCACCCGGCTCAGATGGAGGGATGTTGAAAGGCCAAGAAACATCTAGAAAGAGCCAGGAGCCATCCCCCCATTCTTCCTTACTAGATCAACTTTCCTTCTGGAAGTTGCAGGCAGGGCTTGGGTATGTGACCTGGTCCTGGCCCAGGAGCCTGAGGAAAGTGTGCATAAGATGCATTCTGGGATAGTTTATCTTCCTGATAAATGGAGACACACAGGAAACATTCTCTCTGGCACTAGATGGAGTTCTGTGAGAACATGATGCTTGGGATCGTGACAGCCATCTTGCAATCATGAGGGGATAAGTCTGTGGATGAAAGTCAACATACTGAGAATGGTAGAGGGGACAGACAGAAAATACTAGGTTGAGCCACAGCATTAACCCTGGAGTTGCATGCTTTTACTAGGCATCACCCAGGTGGGACCCTTTCCCTCTGAACCACATAGAGGCCGGCTCAGAACACGTCAGTTTCTTCCATGCTGACATGCTGGAACCCAGGGATACTGGGACTTCAAAGAGCTGGACTGGGACCAGGGTGAGGCAAGCGAGGCATTTGCCTCAGATGCAGATTTTAAGGAGGTGGCAAAAAAGTCAGTAATCAGAATAAACGATATTTTAGTGCAATATTTCAAAAAAATCAAAGCTAATATAAAAAATATGCAATGAACAAATACCACGATTTTTATAAAGAGACTAAAGAATTAGTGTCTCCTGCTAAGTCTGCTCTGCTTGTGATTCCACTCAGGGCCCTCTTGATGAATCTCACCTATGTCAATCCATATAATGAAGCGGGGCTCTAGGGTTTTGAGACCTGGGTCCATGGCCGGGCTGTGCCAAAGACTTGCTGATGATTCCAAGCAAGCCCCTTCCCTTCTCTGGACTCTGGTTACCCCATCTGTCCTGCATGGAGGCTAAGGCATTGCCAAGATGGTCTCCTGACCCATCTTCCTCATCCCCATGGCCTGCTGAGGTTACTGTCCCTCTCCTTGGGAGTCTGTGTCTCCTGGGCCATCGACTCCTGGCTATTAATATCTCCACCATCCCCGGCCTGATCAGGGTGTTTAATGACTGCCAGCTGTGGCTCTGGCCCCCTCCCTTGGGAGAGATAAGAGCAGTTCCTGTTCCCACATAGGGGGAGCTGCCAGGAGGCAGGGTTATTGCTCAGGAAAACAGGCCCTGGGCAAGTGGTGGGAACAGAGGGGCTGACTCTGACTCCTCATCCTGCTGGGCCCAGCACTGCTCAATGGAGGTGCCTACAGATACAGATGCCCTGTGCCCCTGCCCCGTGGGGGCTGCCCCGACCTGGGCCTTGTCCCTTTCAATCCTGATTTCAGTAGCCTTGGGGCTTTCCCCAAACATCCCCACAGACATTACATTCAGCATGTCCCCAACCAGGTCACCATCTCCCCACATCCCCTCCTCTTCCTCCTCCCTCACCTGGATGATGGACTGCCAACTTTTCCTCAGCTTGCCCCTGGGGCCCTTCTCAGCAGCCAGGGTGGCCTGCCCCAAGTCCACCTCATCCCCTTGGCCTCACTTAAGAAGTCTACACTAAGGAGCCCACCTTAGGCACTTGTTTACTTGGATTTGGGTGTCCCTGACACCTGTCATGCTCCCTTCGTACCTAGAGACACCTGCTTAGTCCTTGGAGACAACCTGATGTCTCTTCACAAGGGAAGCTGCTCCCTATTCATTCAGCCGGCACACTGACCACCCTCCTTGTTCAGCCTGTGCCCCAGAGTGGTAGGTACTGTCCACATGGTGACCTCTGCTATCGAATTGATGGTGGCCCTCTGCACCAGGATGGAGGGGGCTCCTTGCTCCTTTTTCCAGGAGGTGCCCAGCTGAGTTAACTTGGTCTTTGCCCTCAGGAGCTGAGGTCAGGGCTCAGTCAAGGGACAGGACCTAGTCTGTGCCCTAAAGGCCCAACGCTACAGCTGAGATTGGGACAGGAATCACTGTGTGCCACGGAAGTCAGGGGACTGGGTCTCCCTAATCCTAGGCTGTCCCTGGGGTCACCTATCCTGTGGCCTCACTACTTCTTCCCTCTTGTATTTCACTCTGAAATGGAGTTGAGGAGAGAGGCCTGTGTCACGTGACCTCCTGTGGAGGGGCCTGAACTCTGTGATGTTTGGGGCCTGATGGCCAACATTGGTGAAGTCCTTGAGGTACCCAGCAGGTGGTGCTAGAGATGATCTGGACTGGTCTGACAAGTGCCTTGCAAGGCAGGAGAGGGACTGCGGAGGTTGGAGGGAAGAAGGTGTGTAGGAGAAATCTGCTCATGGTTGCCCCACTCCACAGGCAGCTTGGGATGTCTGCCCATGGCATCTACCCGCCCGAGACCGTATTTCAGCTTCTCTCTCTTCCCGAATGCCCGACACTGGACTTTTCACCTACTCTCAGGGCAGGACCTCACCAGTATTCTTCCTTTTGCTGGATCTCTCCATGTTTACTTCACTTGCCACAGTCCTGGCTGATAAATCTGGTCTCCTCTGGGCTCTCTCCTTTCCTCTGAAGCTATGACTCACTAACGGTGGGATTTCGGGCACTGTGGTGGATGGACTGGGTCTAGCTTGGTCTGGTGGTCCTTCCTGGCCTTCCCATAGCTCAGGCAGCCTGTGGGATCACTGATTTGGAAGGCAAGGTGCTGCCCTTTCCACTACAAATACCCAACTTCTAAGATCTGTAAACTCCTCCCATATCTGTTTTCCCTCCTCCCCTTACCCTCTTCCACCAGCCTGAGCTCATCCTCAATTCCAGAGAACGATTCCTTGTTCTCTCAGCCTCCATCCTCTCTGCATCCCCTGGCCCCCAGTCAGCTTGGGGATCTCTCTCCCGTTGCTGACCTCCCCGAGCCCAGAGGAAGCCACTTCCTCATAAGCCATTCATGCCTTAGCCAGGAGCTAAGCCTAGCCATCCATCAAGTGGAAAAACTGAGGCCCACAGATACAAGAAACTGCTCAAGATCTATGAGAACATCTGAATTAAAATTGGGACTAAAAGAGTAGGGCTGGGTCTTCTGGACCTTACTGGTAGACGACATCTCTGCAAACAGTTTAGAGAGAGACTGAGCTGGGGAGATAGGGAGGGAAATAAGAGAGAGAGAGAGAGAGAGAGAGAGAGAGATGGCCCAGCTGGGAGAGAGGAGCATGGCCATCCTGCCTGGTCCTGATTTCTTATCCCCTGTGCCTTGGAGTAGTAGGGATAGGAGGCTCTCTCAGGGAAGAATAGAACAAGAACCAGGTGACCCAAGTGCCCATGACCAGCTCTCCTCACCCAATCAGTGGTCACCACCGTTGGCCTGGGCAGAGGAAGGGATGGTGAGTGCTGAGAATGCTCTCTCCAGCAGGCCAGAGTGTGCCTGAAACCAAAGCCAGGGACATTCCTTCCTCTGTCCTACAGCTGACCATGCACAGGGCAGGGATGGCACGCGACTCTAGATGGAGTTTGCTACAGTCAGACCTGCTGGGCCACTGATCCAAGGGTATGTGCCTGGAGCTACCCCTGGGTTCATGGTCACTCTGATGCTGGCCTGTGTTTCTCACCTGAAGTGTAGGATTCTCATCCCAAGCCAGAGGGGTAGTAACATCTGGCTTCAGTGATGCTTGTGACCTCCCCTCCTCTGAATGTGGGGAAATGGCCAAAAGTTGAGAGCTGGTCTCCATTTTAGGTCACGAGGGAACATCAACCACCAGGGAAACCAAGCCAATTCAACCCAACATTTATTGTTGCACAGACTGTTTGCAGTCCTGAGGGGGTCTCCTGGCTGAAGCATGGGCAGGAAGCCATGTGGCCACAGGGTGCAGGGTCGACAAAGGATGTCACGACCACCAGGCTCTTGTCCAGACAATATACAGGCTCAAGGACTTCCCAGCCATACTCCAGTGTGGCTCCGGTGGGAATGGGGTTGCAGGGATGGTGGCAATAACATAACTAAGAGGATGAAGCTTGTTACAATATATAAAAAGCAGCAGTTAAGAATTTGTGCCTTTGCTTTCTCATCTGACAGAACTGAGATCAAGCCCTATCTGTGTGAAAAGGCGAAGTACCTCTCTGTGAGACTTGGTTTCCTGACCTGTGAAATAGGGACAGTCGTTCCCATCTTGCTGGGTTGATGTGAGGATTAAGGGGCCCATGAGTGCACATCTCTCAGCCTGATCCTAATCGTTGGCACACCTGGTGGGAAGCCAAGGGGCACTCCCACTGCATAAAGAGATGGGAGGGCTGGTGGCAGTCCCAACCATTCCAGCCACCCTGGGACCACTTCACTACAGCAGGGATTATGTAGATACCTGTGCCCCCTAAACTGAACTCCCTGTAAAACCACACCTGCCTGAGGCAGAGAAACTCCTCCACTCGGAGGAGCCAGCTGCTCAGAAGACGACGACGGGGGAGGCGATTACATTTTGGAAGATGATTATCATTAATGATAATGATGCTTAACCTGAAGAAACTTGACAGGAACGGTGGAACTTCAGGCTCTGTTGAGGTGATGGTGGCAGTGGGTGACCTTTAGGTGCAAGATCTTTGTGTCCTCGGCACTGGCCACACTCCCCAGCCATTGCCCAGGGATGGGCTGCTGCCTACGTTGGACTGCGCCTGAGAGCTACCAGTGCCGAGTCAGGTGAGAGCATGTGGGTTTCTTGCCCCTGATTGGTAGATGAGGACTCTGATGGCTGAGCTCCACCCCACATCTTCCCAGATGAGAGCACCCAACACCCATACTTGCAGAGAAGTGGCTCCCGCATCTGTGCACTCTACTCTCCTCAGGAAAGCACAAGGGCAGAGTTCTTTGGGGGCGTCCGGACAGTAGCCTGGGGACCAGGGCAGCCTCCGAGCCCAGGGCTGGGGCTGGTGTCCCCCGGGCAGGCCTCGGTGCCCGGTGCCACCCGGGGTGGGAGGTGCGGAAAGAATGGCTGGTGGGGGCCCATGGGAGCTGGCGGTCAGACCAGGGAGACTTCAGCCTGGAAACTGGAGGAACGGCGTGCACCCGGGCTGACACGGGTCAGAATGGAGACCTGCGTGCTGCATGTGGCCCCGGTGCTGCCTCCTGAGGGGTGCTGGTATTTGGGGTCCGAACCCAAGAAGCCCTGCAGGTGCCAGCGCCTCCACTTCCGCCGCAACTCCGCCTGCACCTGGGAAAAGCGAGGTATTCAAGTCCGCTCCTAGTAAGCCTCCTCCGTGGCTGACTGGGCTGCTCTGGATTTAGGGTGCTGAGCCAGCCAGTCAGATCCTCTAGGGGAGTCTAAATTGAGAGACCCAGATGCTACCTTGGCTAATGCACAGTGCACTAGGGATAGGGGTTGAATAAAGGCCTTGGAGGAGGTAGGTGGGGAGGTAGGAGGGAGAGAGAAGATCAGAGAATGAGGTCTGGGGAGGGAGAGGGGTGCTGCCCCGACATGGTCGAATCCCCATTCTTCTGAACACTGCCCTCCAGCTCACACGAGCTCTTCTGAGTGGATAGATTTCTGTGCTTTGTAACCCTCCACAGTAACTCAGCCTCCACTGGCTGCCCACCCCTTTCCCCTATCCCCACTTGCCACTTAACCAAACCAATGTGCACACGAAACCCAGGTATCCCAGGGGTGTGTGTGTGTGTGTGTGTGTGTGTGTGTTAACATGCAGATTCTAAGCAGGTCTGGGCAGAGGGCAGAAATCAGCATTTTTCACAAGGTCCTAGTTATGGGCCATCACCTATTTTCTAGTCTGAGAATCACACTTGGAGTCATAAGATTTAACCCATCCTTGCTCTGCACATATCCCATTTGTGTTTCCGGATCTTGAAACCTGAGTGCTATTGCCTGGTCCCCAAGGTCTGGGAGTGGCTTACCTCGCCATTGAGGAAGCAGTACAGGATGGCCACCACAAAACCCTAGGGAGGAAGAGGGTAGGGGGGGTGAGGTAGACAGACTCCAGGAGACCCCAGCCCCTGTACCACCCGTCCCTGTCCCTAGGTTCCCCTGATTAACCAAAGGACTAAGTATACAGTAGGTCTTAATCACGACTTATTACAGTGGGAGAAAAATGGAATCCAGTGGCAAGGGTCCAAGACCCCAATTCCCTTTGAGCCCAGAGAAGAACACAGACATTGGTTGATGGTTCATACCTGGAAAGACCCCATGACGAGCTCAAAGACCATTTTCACCTCAGCTGTAAAGTTGTTGGGAAAGAAGGCAAACATGATGTAGTGCACTCCAAACAGGGGAATCAGAAGAAGAGTAGATTTGGCGAGCCTCCTGGGGACAAGGGAAAGACAGACAGTGGGTACAGGAGGTAGGGACAATGATCGGGCTGTGAGGATGGGCTGCTGGCTTCCGGAAGTACTATGTGCCGATGTGTTCCTGTTTCCTATCTGCAGTGCCTCTATCCTCATCCCTCTCCCCGCCACCTCCAGGTCTCTTAGCCTAAAGGCAAGCATAAAGGAGAAGGAAACTCTCTTTTCTCACCTTTCTGGAGGAGGGACCATAAAGGAGGCCAGTGCTGAACCCCGAGGATGAAACCTAGTATTTCAGGCTCTGTGGCAGCCAAGGGAGAGATGCTCTCAGCCTACAGGAGGTCTTGGTTCCCTCTTTCCTGGTCTCAGCTTTCCTAATCTTTATGGTGGGATACATGTATGCTCAACATGAAAAATTATGGAAACAAGGGTCCACTGGCAACTCAGAACTGCTTTGGATGTTATTAAGTGCAGTTCATCCACAAGAAACTAATTCTCTACTAGGGATGAGGACATTTGGGAAGGAAAACTTTGTAATTGGGGTCCTGACCACATGTGCCCAAGGCCACTTGGGAGAATGCTGAGCTCTCCAGTTTAGTACAGCTCTGTCTTTGGCTTCTCTGTTGTCCACTTCTCTAGAAGTTGCCATTTTTTTCTGAGATTGCATCCCTCCCTCCAAGCCTCCCACATCCATGCACACACTCTCAGCAGGCTCTGAAGGACCAGCTCTTCCTCCACCAGCCTTGTGTGCTTGAAAGGGTCGATATTCATAACAAATGACTCATACCTCTCATACCTCTCCAAAGGAGCAGGGATCATCCTGGTCAGGCCTCCCAGCCACCTGACCTCAGAGCTGGCCCAGGCAGTGTGAGCTCACAGTTCCCTGGCTGGGAGAGGTCTGAGGGGCAGGAGGTTTCCGCCTTGATCTCTTCTGCCTTGGCAGTCAGTCCAGGGAAGCCTAGTCCTGGGCCTGAGGTCCCACGGACTGGCCCCTCCTGCTCCTTCCTGGACCTGGTTCCCAGCCATGCCAAGATCCTAAGCACTGCCCACCCCTCTTTGCCCACAACTCTATCCCACATGCCCGAGGCTGACAGATGGTGGCTTTCTTTAAATTGAAGGCTTATGGGGAGGTGGAGAGTGGGAACTGACAGCCCCTCAGCGGGGAGCTCCATCTCCTGTTCCCTCCGCCCCCTGCCTGCCAACAGCTGTTCAGTTTCTATCTCAGCCACGTGGACCTGGTGATGACCAGCTTCCTTTGCCTCAGATTCAAGCCCTTTGGAGCAGTTTTCCATTGGGGCAAACTGGGCCCTGCAGGCAAAGCAGAGGATAAGGATGCACAGGTCTATTGTACTGCCTCCGGGCAGGCTACAGACCCCATTCTCAGACTGGAAGGGAAGTTCCTCCTACGCACACAGCAGGGGAGAATGCCATCACACCAGGAACATGAGTCTTAGTCTCATCAGAGAGAATCACAGGATTCCAGAATAGAATCCTAAATCCAGCAGCTGGTGACGTTCTAGCTAAGAATCTTAGAACCACAGCACAAGACTCTCCCAAGAGAAGCCAGGCCAAGAATAGTCCAGAATCCCAGGACTGGGAGGCCCTTAAGGGACACTTAAGGGTTGTCCCATCTCTGCAGCACCGAAAATCAGTCTTCTATTCTCGTCTGACGGCACGCAGACCCCTACTCACCTCCACACAGCCACCCTGTCCATGTTTCTTTAGTTCTGTCTTCAAGCCCTGTTCTCATGAAAACCTTCCTGTTTCCACAGTCCTCCCAAGAGCAGAGGGCAGCCCACACACCTTTCCAAGCAAGGAGCATGACCACTATCCCAGGCACACTGCCCCCTCCCCCTGCCATGGCCATGTGCTTCCCACCCTTGAAGAGGAGGGAGTGTCAGTTTCCTCACCTGCAAAATGTGGACAGTTTATATGGGACTGTGTGGATGACATAAGACGATCTGTGGAAACCCCTTAGCACACACCTCACATGCAAACTGCTGTTACTATTACTGGGGACTCCTGAATCCTGAATGCGGTGACCTCGTTGTTCAGCTGAGGGCTTCCCCAGGGCATGCATCTACTGTGTCCCTTTTCCGTGCCAGGTACATGCCAGGGACTGGGCACATGGAGTGAATAGGGTACAAGTTATCTGTTGTCTTCTCAAGCTCCCTGGCTTGGCAGAAGATAAATATGTGGGTCAGGTCACCTGCTAAGTGAGTGACTGCAGGAGAAGCAGGCACAGGGTTTATGAGCCTGGTGAGCATGGAGCTGGAGCAGGGGACACTTGTGAGCTGAGCCAGGTCATGGGGGTGGTAGTGGGCAAGAGCAAGGTGGCTTTGGTGACTCTGGAGTCACCTAAGTTCCTGGAAAACGTCAAAGACACGTGGGCAGGTTTGAGGACCAGGGCTGTGGACACCGACGAAGCCAGAGCATACTCACGAGTATGGGCTGCTGTGACTCTTCCCAACATCTGGGGACTGAAGTTTCTGAACCAGGATTCGGACGATGCGAATAAACAGGATAAAGTTCACCTGGCAGATGGGGCCAAGGTTAGTGGTCAGAGAGGGGAGGCTGAGGTGCCTAGCTCCCCGGACTGATGGCCTGGTTTTTTCCCCAGGACCCTGTTGTCTGTCTGTCTTATCTCTTCCCTAGCTTCCCCCACTTTGGGCGGGTCATCTGGGAACTCTACTTCACATCTTTAGGGACTGGCCCTCCCAATCTGTTTTCTTCATCTTAGAGCAGGAAGTGATGGGGAAAAGGATGGTGATGATCTTGCTTAGGGGTGCTGGGAAGCCTATGTTTTTGTCCTCATTCTAACACGAATTTCCTGTGTGACCTGAAGTAAGTGAATTCCCAGTCTGGGCCTCAGTTTCCCTATCTCTACATGGTGGGAAGAGGCCTTACCAAGATGGAGGTGAGGATGGGGGCCTTTATGATCCACCAAAATGAGGAGTTGATGGTGTCCCAGCATCTGGACAGGGCATGGAGTGGGGGAAGAATGAGAACGGTTGTCCTCAGCCAGGTCAGAGGTCCTCCTGGGTGCTCCAGCTCTGCCCCTGAGCCCTTTAGACACCACAGTCCCAGGGTCTGTGCCTCCCGGCTTCCCCTCATCCCACCTGGGGGTTCTCCCCAGATGATGGCAGCCTGGGGGAGGGGGTGGGGCAGCAGCTCACCCCATATCCTCCAGATAGAGCCTGATGATTGTCCACACGATAGTGAAGGTGCTGGGCACCCCTGTCAGGACCAAAGAAGAGAAAAAGAGAACAGGGCACAAGGCAGAGATTTAGGAGAAAGGAGAGAGAAAGGGAGGGAGAGTGGGTTTCTGGGGCTACCACCTGTGGTTGCACAGACCATTTACTGTGCAAAGATGCTTGCTCTACTGAAGGGGTGGAGCACTATGCCTGTAGGTCTGTATCCACCTAAAAGGAGGATCTTTTCTTAAATTTGACAGGGGCACTTTACAGACTAGCAGTAGCCCAGGGCTTCAAGGGCTGAAGAGGAAATGGATGCCCATAGAAACTGTCTGTCCCACAGATCAGGCCTAGTTTCAGCTACAATCTGAAGGCACCTACCCTGGGGTCAGACACTGGGGGGACATTTGTCAACTCTTGGCCTAGATAGAGCCTGGTAGGCAGGCCCTGTAGCCCAGGGAGACCTAAGAGTGCAGGCAGGGCTGGCACCCACCCCCTAGTGAGCTCCCCAGGCCTTGCCCCTTCTGTTTCCAGCCTGGCAGCCCTCCCTAGTACCATACCCCAGCCGATGAGTATGTACCCCCAGAAGTACTTCCGCTCAGAGAAGAAGGAGACGGCCAGCAGGGTGTGCAGGTAGAGGCCCTCCACCAGCAGCCAGAAGAAGTTGGCCATGATACAGTACTGGAAAAAGACCATGGCTGCCTTACAGCTCACCTGCAGGGGGAGGAACCGAGAAGAGGCTCACTGGGGTCCTCTGCTTGCCCACATCTCTGTTTGGGGCAACAAACACCGGTGCAGAATGGCCAACTTAATCTCTTTGTTGTTCTTGCATCATTTCTTAAGAAATATACCCGGTGGTATTCCCATTATCCTTGATTTTAGATGATCTGATATTTGGGGATATGCGTGCAGTTTTTTGTAAAATATTTATTCATTTTTGAGAGACACAGAGAAAGAGAGTATGAGTAGGGGAGGCACAGAGAGAGAGGGAGGCACAGAATCTGAAACAGGATTCAGGTTCTGAGCTGTCAGCACAGAGTGCAACACGGGGCTCGAACTCATGGACTGCGAGATCATGAGCTGAGCTGAAGATGGATGCTTAATAAACTGAGCCACCCAGGCACCCCTAAGCGTGCAGTTTTAATGATCCATCCATCAATTTATCATCTATTCATTTTCCTTCTATATGTGTATCTATCCACCTACCCATCCAACCATCCACCCACCCATCCACCTATCCATTTATGTATCTGCTAGGTATCTGCTACCAGCTCATCTATCTGTCTATCTATGGTCCATGCATCCACTGATCATTTATTTCTTCATCTTCTCATCTAACAGTCTATCCATGACTCACCTATCTATCTCTCCATTCTTCTACCTATCCATCTACTAGATATCCACTATCAATCCACACCTAACCATCCATTCATCCATCCTCCTATCTACTCATCTGCTCTTTTACCTGTCATCTATCCAATTTTTCTTACTTTATCCATCTATCCTTCCACCTAGACAGCCATCCATGCACCTATTTACTCAGCCGTCTACCTACCCATTCACTGAACCCCTGTCCCACCCACTCATTCACCTTATTTCAATTAGGATGGAAGGTGGCTGGAAGAGGTATGAGGGAGAATTCTTGCTTGGGTTTGCAAGAGTTCCCTGAATATATGAGTTGTGGGCTATGGGCTGTGGAGTGGGGCCCTGATGGAAGTGTTGAGAAGAGGCAAGAGGAGGCAGAAGTAGGGCAATTGGGGGCTCTGGGTGGCCCACCTGGCACGACTGGAAGACCTCTGTCCTCTCCCAGAAACAGTCTTCCATTTCAGATCAAGCCCCAATACCTGTGAGCCAGAACTTAAAGCCCTCCCGCTCCAGGAAGCCCTTTAGATTCCACTCCTGTCTGGAACACAGGTACCCACCCATCCTTCCTGTGCCCTTGGCTTTGAGACATCCTTAGAGAGTCGTCTGCTCTCCTCTTCCTGTGGCTGCGAGCTCCTTCCGGTCCCACTTCAGTCCTTCCAGCTACAGGTGGGCCTGTGCCCCCCCATCCTCCACCCACTTGCCTTGCAACTAGAATAGCTCATCTCTTTAATAGGACAATTATCTGTGCTTATTGCCTTAGAAGAGCTTCAGAGAGCTGCTAATGAATTGGAAAGCCAGTCTCCACAGTTATCCTCAACAAGTGTGCTGGAGGCTTCCTGGCTTCCCTGGTTCCACAGCTCATAGGCCCCAGCTCCTGGGTGGGATCCTCAGAGGAGCTCTGGGATTGGCCAGGGCAGTCACCTGGGTCTCCCTTCCTTCTTGCTACCTGCGAGACCCCACGATCATCGGTCCATTCTCTAAGGAGAAGGTATTGCTGACTCCCAAAGCAATGCACTGCCCCTGAGGTAGTGCCTCATGAATGCCTGGCCACAGGAATAGGTAGGAGCCAGGGCTGGTCTTGACCTCTCTGCCTTAGCTCTGAGGGCACTCAGGGAGGGGGCCCTGAGCTCATGATCATTTGTAGATGTACTGCTTAGTGATGGGCAATTAATTCCTTAGACACTCTTAACTTCCCTTCCTGAGGAAGGCCCAGAATGGACTGATGGCAGGGGAAGAAGGGAAGACGAGGGCTGTGTGTGTCCCTGGACAGGCTCCAGCTGGTGGTAGGGGTGGGAGAGTAGGATGGAAGCTTGGAAGTCCTTGCAAGATGGGGAAACTGAGGCAGGGAGTTCCCGAAGATCACTCTAGAAGTTAGCAACAGAGGAGGGATGGGGGAGTGTGGACTCTGGCTATGAAGTGTTGCATTTCCCACTAAGGAGGGACATCTGTCATGGGCAGGGGCAGGTCTGTGAGCTCCCAGGTGGCTGAGGTGGGATTCAAGGAACTGAAGATGGGGTTGGGTAGGGGTTTGACCATCCTTGGGGAGGGAGAGGAGGAAGGAGAAGAGAGGAAAGAAGGAGCAGGGGAAGGACTGAGATGTGAGAAAGTAAAGGTGAAGAGGGAGAAGGACGTGGGCCTGGGCGGGGTCCTCACCGAGCCCTGGGCGCAATAGTCCACATCCTCGCTGTTGAAGAGGGTCAAGTCTTTGATCAAAACCGCGGTGGCCCTCAGGATGAAGGACATGAAGAGGTGCATGTGGATGTAGTTCCGCGTGCAGTGGAGCTTCCTGTGCAAGGCGGGCAGAGCTGGGAGGCTGGGGAGGCCTGGGACCCCCACTCCAGCCACCTGTCTGGTGCTCTGAGCAAGTGGCGGGCAGGGGAACTTCGGGCTTCCAAGTGCAGGCCCCACCCCTAGGGCCCCCAACCCGGGTGTAGACTGGCCTCCAAGTGCCTCAGCCTCCTGAGCCTGCCCTCCTCTGGTGCCCTACCTCCAAGTGCAGGGCCATCCTGTGGGGACTAGGCTGAGACAGGTGGCATGCTTTGAGCAGCCTGCTCTCACCAGGGGAGGTTGGCCTGGTAGGGGGACAGGGCAGGGACTCTATGCTGCCTAGGGGTGACAGGGAAGGGGGCCAGAGCATGACCAAGCCAGGCTGGGCTCGAGCACAGGAGTGACCTGGCTAGGTCTGCTCTGAGGCCTGTTGCTGTGGCTGGACCTCACCTGAACAGGCTCAAGATGGCTGTAGCAACCAGAAGGGCAGCAAGGGACAGGCTGTGGCCGACGGTATAGACGGTCTTCAGAGAAGTGTAGAACATTGACTGCTGCTGCTAGAGGGAAGAAGGTGGCAGGGGAGGGGAGGTCTTAGGGGGCCGTGGGCTCACCTAGCGGGCATTGGCAAGGGTGCATGTCTTACACGCCCTGCCTCCCATCCCTGCCCTGGCAGATGAAGAGATCCAGGGGTCCCAAGAGTAGCTGAGCCACCCCCTTCAGTCCCCAGACTTCTGACCCCCCTCCCCTGGGTTTCTACAGACATCAGAGGACTGCTTCCCAGGGTGGGGCGGGGGTTGACTTAAGCCTCCTCTCTGCTCTTTCATGAGGGAAATGCCAGTGACAGAAAGAGCAAAGACCTCATGGGTTCCATTTGCCTGTTTTGCAGTCATGCGTCCAGCACCCCTTCCATGCCAACTTTGGCCTTGGGCCCCTGGCAGCCCAACACTGTGCCCTTCACACTCCACATGAGGACCTCCCACCATGCAGCAAGAAAGCCACACAGGGAATTAGAATGCTAAAGATGATACCCCAAAATCTCCCTTTTAGAGCTCCCAGCAAGAGGAAGGCAATCTAGCCTTTCAGGAGGGTGCAGGACTAATCTGGAATCCAAAGGCTTCTTGCCGGCCCCCTCCCAAAAGCCTCCCTATGGACACATATGCAGAGCCCGTGATCACTGGGCAAGGCCCTTGTTTCTCTCCATGTCCCATACCCTGCTGGAACGCAGGCAAGTGCTTAAGTGGGATTTAGGGGATTTAGATCCTGCCTGAGGACCTGGTGGGCTTTGAAGTCCTCTGAGGAAGCTGCCCTTGTGGGAGGGGTAAAAGCTCTGAGAACAGTGTCTGGGGGCGGGACAAATGTCACAGCAGACAGACACACATACATACAGGTGTCCCCACACCAAAGCAGTGAGGGGGCTCCTAGCTGAGGACTCCAATTATACTCTCACTTCCCATCAGTATCCCCACGTGGCTCTGGGGCCCACATCCGTACAGTGACCACTCACGCTTCATCTGCTCCAGGGCACATACCTTTCCTGGGACTGGGGACCTGTCCCTGTCCCTGATGCCTACTGAGGCTGTGCCCCTCAGTTTCCCTTCTGCATGAGCTAGGAAGATGCTATTTACCCTCCCTGTCCCTCCAGAGCTGGAGCAAGGTCTCATGAGTCAGTGGGGGGGCGGGGGGCCAGTCTGGGGGCAGAGGGCTGCTTTAGCTTTTGCTGTTGTGTATCATCCTCATGAAAGTCCCCTTCCTGTTCCTTGTCAGGCACAGAGAGGGGGATGAGCCCCTGGAATGCAGTCCTGGTGAGGAAGGAGGCTTGGGGAAGGCAGACCCCTGGAGTCCTGGCTTGCACACAGATGGCAACCTTACTCCTTGTTAGGGGAGAGTGGAAGAGCCTTGCAGGCCAAGGCACTCTGGGAGGGCAGGAGTGTGCTGAGGCCCACCTCATCCAAATCTGATGCTCTGTCATTCAAGCCACAGGCAATGGGGTAGGGGCCAGGCTCCAGGGGCGTCCAACCTTCGTTGGTGCAGTTACGGCTCACGTTTCGGCCTGGGTGGAGGGGAGAGGGGAAGGTGAGACAGAGAAGAGGAGAGAGGTTGAGGCTGGGAGCAGGGCAAGTGCATGGAGTAGGCATGAGGCTGGGCTGTTTCTGAGCTCAGCCTTATCTCCAGCACTCTGGTTGTTATCAGGCTGCCCTGACCTAGACCCCCAGGGCGTCACGGGGGGACTTGGGGCAGGGAAAAGCTCTTCTGGGGCTACAAGGGGACCCTTCACCATGAGTAACAGTCAGAGCAGACTATGGGCTTCGTGGGCTCAGTCTTGCCCCTTGTCATGCCTGAAACTGACCCTGGGTGCAAGATATAATAAAGTGATCTTTGTCACAGCCTGGATTCTTGGTATAGAATGACCTACGACCCTTGTCATGAACTAAATGTTCACCCATGTCACAGGGCCATAGGAGCTGGTGCGGCAGATGATTTCTCTGTCCTGAGGGTGCAGATGGCAGCCCTGTGGCTGGGCCGAGGGGCTCTTCCGGGGTCAGCCTACCTGGGCTGATGCTTGATTTCCTCCCACGCCCAGTGTGGCTCAGATGTGCTGCTGAAGAGGGACCAAAGGTGAGGCTGGAAGTGGGGTTGGAGGGTACCTGATAAGGGTGCCGGTCTGAAATGCTCATAATAGGGAAGCAGGGAGTCCTGGTAGGGACCTGCCTGGGCAAAAGCACCTGTGCGGGGAATCAGGCACCACAGCACCGCAGGACCTTGGGGTTGAACTTGGCTGAGGCTGAGGCTCCAGGGCAGGGGTATTCTCCACTGTTCTTGGGGGCCCAAAGCTGTAGCAAAGGGACAGGGCTGACGAGAGCACATGGGGCGCGAGGGCTACCTCAAGGCTGCTCACTCTCTAGCCCTGGAGAGGACTTGAATAGAAAATGGGTGAGCTGGGGGTACCTGGATGTCTCAGTCAATTAGTTAAGCATCCAACTTTTGATTTCAGCTCAGGTCATGATCCCAGGGGCATGAGTTTGAGCCCCACATCTGGCTTTGCGCTGACAGCATAGGGTCTGCTTGGGATTCTCTCCCTGCCCTGCTTGCTGTCTCTCTCTCAAAATAAATAAATAAACTTTTTAAAAAAAGAAAAAGAAAGAAAATGGGTGAGCCAAAGAAGATCCCCTCCCTCTATACCAGGACTGATTAAAGAGGCACTGGAGTCCAGGGTGAAAGCTGGCTTACTGGGGTGAGAGGAAGAGGAAGGGGGAGAGAGGAGGAGGAGGAGGAGGAAGAGGAAAGAGAGAGAGGAAGGCAGGGGTGGTGGGAGGGAGAAGAGGCAGGAGGAGGAGGTAAAGGGATAGAGGAAGAGGGAAGGAGAAGGAGGAAGAGCACAGTAGGGAAGGAGGTGAGGTAAAGCTGAGAAGGAAGATGGGTCCTTGGGGCGCCTGGGTGGCTCAGTGGGTTAAGCGTCTGACTTCGGCTCAGGTCATGATCTCAATGGTTCGTGGGTTCGAGCTCCATGTCGGGCTCTGTGCTGGCAGCTAGCTCAGAGCCTGGAGCCTGTTTCAGATTCTGTGTCTCCCTCTCTCTCTGACCCTCCCCTGCTCACACTGTCTCTCTCTCTCTCAGAAATTTAAAAGAAGAAGAAGAAGGAGAAGAAGAGTCCTAATGTCCTTGCCCTAAGCTCCTTTCTCACCAGCACCACAGCCACTGTCCTCATCATCACTGGTATCATCACTGTCACCATCACCATTAGCACCCCTACTAGCAGCATCACTATTGTCAACATCATGGCCACCACCATGGTCCCCATCACCACCACCAGCAGCAGCAGCATCACCGTCATCAGCTGCATCACAATGACAAGTTTGAGAACTCTTCATTCATCAGTGCTGTACAGAGGGTTTTAGGCTCAGTGTCTCACTGGGTTCCCTCCACCCTCCAGTGAGGAAGGGAATCCCACTTCACCCTTGAGAAGTGAGGCTCCAAGAGGTTGGCCACTTGCCCAAGACCACACAGAGAGAAGGTAGAGTATGTGTGATCCCCAGAGTCTTCTCAGGTGCCCCCTTGCCCCCACCTGCACTGAAGGGACCTGAGGACTTGTGTCAGGTGTGCAAGTGCAGAGCTGTAGGAGGTGTCGAGCTGTCCTGAGAGCCCAGGGTGGCAGGGTGGGGTGGTGGTCACTGTGCATGTACATCTACTATTTCTAAACATGGCTGTGTGCTTGGAATATACCAGGTGATTCCCCTTCCACTATTTCTGTTAATCCTCCTGGGTGCCATTTGAAAGAGGTTATTAGCACCCTAGTTTATGGCTGAGGAATTGAAGGACAACTGGGGGGCTGGGGACAGTCAGTGAGGAGTAGCTGGGCCTGGGTCTCTTTCCACTGTGAGGTTCTGGAGGGAGCAGGAGGGATGAAGAGGCACTGGGCTGGGGTGGTGCCTGATTTAGGAGCCCTTCCCTGTGCAGGCTTCTCAACCTCACTGCTGCAGGAGGCTCTCAGCACGAGAGAGAAGTCCTCCTGCGGGCCCTGCTCAGCCCCCCAGCTCCCTCACTGCAGCCCAGGCAGGCTTCAACCAGACAGTCAGTAAAGCACTGACCTGGCTCAGCCCCAGATCTAAGGAGCCCACTGTGGGTCCTGCCCAGGACCCGATTCTTGCATGAACATCCCCCAACAGCCTGGGGCAAGTAGAAAAAAGGGACAAGGCCAAATCAGCCAGCCTTGAAGGCAACACTAATGCCTCAAGTTTTGAGCTCCACTCTCACTGGAAGGACCAGAGTTCCATGGGCCAGGCCCATGACATAGCAGGCACCTGGGACCATCATGAACTAGGTGGCCCATCTGAATCTACACAGAAGCTTCTCATGCCTTCTGTGGGGGAGGGGCAATAAATATTACTGTGTGAAAGCTAGCGATTAGGAGTTATTATTAGTTCCACTAGAAGAGGGCAATGCCACGGCTGAGAGAGGTTGGGTGACCTGCCCATGGTCACACAGCAAGGAAGCATCAGGCTCGGGATACAGACTTGGGTTAGCCTGACTCTGCACCTTTCTGAGCTTCCAGACAGGCTGAAGGTACGCCCTGTCCCCTGGGACCTTGGCTTCCCTGGGTATCCAGGGAAGGCAGGGGGGATAGTGGTTCATCATCAGGGCTGGGTGGCCTCTTTGAAGAGCCCTGGGGCTGTGGCCCATGTCTCAACGGGAACTGTTCCTGAAGAGATCTCAAAGATGGCCACTACGGGGCCCCAAGATGCACCCCGAACTTGCGTGTGTAGAAGGCAATATGTAAGAGCCTCTTCCTGCTCACCATGTCATGAAAAGGAATCACAGCCACCCCTCCACTCCTCCTGGGGCCCTCCATGTGAAAAGCACAGCTCAGTGACTAAAGGTAGAAATTGGGCATTCCTTTCCTTCTCTCTCTGTCTCCCCCAACTCTCCCTCAGCCACCAGTCCTGTCCCAGCCTCCCTTCCTCACCACCACCATCTCACCTCTCCGGAAGTAGGTAGGAGCCTCCTGGTGGCTCTCCCCGTTTTCCTGTCTCCGCTCACCCACTCCCAGCTCGAGAGAGCTGGAGAGATTGTTCTAAATCCTCGATGTGACAGGAAACTCCCCTGCTGAAATCCTGTCAATGGTATCCTGTCCCAATCAGCCAGGGCAAACGTCTTAGGATGGCATCCAAACTTTCTTACCCGTGGCTTCGCCATGCAGGTGGTGAGGTGGGGAGAGGAGATGTCCCACAGACCCCACGGACAGAGTTAATGTAGCGTGTGTTGTTTCCTCAACCAAATTAGCGGTTCTAGTTTTCACTCTTAAAAAATGCTTTTCAAATATCTAAAGGTGAAAACACCACAGATGAAAGACATGAAGGGGCGCGTGGGTGGCTTAGTCGGTTAAGCGTCCGACTTTTGCTTAGGTCATGATCTCGCGGTTCGTGGGTTCAAGCCCCGCATCGGGCTCTGTGCTGACAGCCAGCTCAGAGCCTAGAGCCTATTTCAGAGTCTGTGACTCCCTCTCTCTCTGACCCTCCCCTGCTCACGCTGTCTCTCTCTCTCTCTCCTAGAAATAAATAAAAAAAAAAAAGAAAGAAAGAAAGAAAGAAAGAAAGAAAGAAAGAAAGAAAGAAAGAAAGAAAGAAAGAAAGAAAGAAAGAAAGAAAGAAAGAAAGAAAGACATGCAGACCACAAATTAAAGGACCAGGTCCCCACAGACATTTTGGTCCCTTGATGAGCAGTCCCTTGCCTGGCCAGTGCTCCTCCTCCAGGAATTTTATGCAGCCCAGGTGGATGCCTTCTTTCTAACTCTACAGTCTTTATCCTCTTCAGGTGTCTTCAGCCTTCCCTGTAGAACTAGGTCCCTTCCAGCCCTCCAGGGAGGACACTCCTTCCCCAGTCCTCTCACCCAAAGGGGCTAGAGTTAGGGATGGCATTATTTCTATTCCACACTTGCCTTTCTCGCAAACCCCCCTCTTTGGAGTTTAAGGTCACTGGCTTACACCTTCTTCCCAGGAAAATACATCTCTTTCCCTTACATTTTCAGCCCCAGCCTAGTCTCCTGTCTCTCTCCGTCTTTTTCAGAGGCTAAGGGACCAAGTACAGTTGTGCAGGTTGTTTACTGCACAAGGGCATTTGGCTGATATATGGTGGGGGCTACAATCTACTTCATCTTCAACTTGTCACTAGGTGAGTTCTGGTGACAGGCTGACTCTGCCCAAGGAAGGGCACCACGTGAGCCCCATGGAGGCTGGCAGTCTCAGGGTTAGCAGATGGTGGAGGCTGCAGTCCAGGTTCCTATGCGAAGTTGCTGCCTTGACAATTCCAGCAGGGACAGAAGGAAAAGCCATCAGGAGGGATGTAGTCAGCAGAGTGTCCGGAGGAGCACAAGTCACAGGCCCTTCCAGGGAATCTGAGAGAAGGCTGGTTGCAGGCTCTGCTGACTGGACACACGAAAGCTCCCGGAGGGGCTCCTCGCCTACCTACCCAGGTGCTGGGTTCCCCTGGAGAGCTGGGCTGAGTGGCGGCTGGCCTGGAATACGACCCCTCTGTGACTGCTCCGACTCCTCAGGGAGGGCGATGCTGAGGTCACAACACTGAGCGCTGGGGAGCAAAGCCAGCCTGCCCCCAAAGACTCCCTTTGGCCCACCTCCTGTCCCCATTTTACAAACAGGGAAGCAGGTCCAGAGAGAGAAAGGTCACCTGAAGTAAGAGATGCCCAAGTGTCTTTCTGCTCAGTCTCTGAATTCTTTAAAAAATTTTTTCAATGTTTATTTATTTTGAGAGAGAGCCAGAGCATGAGCAGGGGAGGGGCTGAGAGAGAGGGAGAGAGAGAATCCCAAGCAGGTTCCAACTATCAGGGCAGAACCCAACATGGGGCTTGATATCACAAACTGTGAGATCATGACCTGAGCTGAAATCAAGAGTTGGAGGCTTAACCAACTGAGCCACCCAGGCTCCATCTCTGAATTCTTCTCTAAGTCCTGCTCCTCATTAATCTCTTCCTCTCCAGACCCACTCCTCCTTCCGATCCTCCCCACTTGGGACCCACTCCTCCCACGGGCCCTCTCCACTCTGGACTCACCCTCCCTCAGGTCCTTTAGTCTTTTTTTTCTCCCTTAGTCTTTGATGAGTCCCCCAGCTCATCAAACTTAAACCCAAGAGGGGCATGCTAGGTCCCTCCCTCCCTGCATGAGCCTTGCACACCTTTCCTAAGCAAGTTTCCCTCTTCTTTCCTCTGCCACACTCTAAGTCCAAACCATTACTGCCTTTCATGGGTCTTCCCATTGCACTACCAGAATCCCTTCTTTTCATGAAAAATCTGAATTACTGGTTAAAAACCTCAACCTAAATTGGACCATGTCAGTTACTGGCTTAATGCCTCCAGTGGCTTCTCAGTGAACTTAGGAAAAAATCCCAAGTCTTCAGTCAGTGCTCAGGGCCAGCGTGGTCTGGCCTCCGCCAGCTGTCTCTCTCCTCTCCTCCCTCCCCTGAGCCCTCTTTGCTCCAGCCGCCCTGGCTTCCACTGCATTTACTGAGTGCCCATCCCATAGGCTGCTGATTCTCTCTCCCCCAACCCAGGATCTTTCTCGCCTCCAGGTCCTCAGAGAGCAGCTGAAGCAGTACCCTCTCGCGAGCTCGCCCATCCGTGAGTACTGCCTTGATGTTGCACCTTACCCCCCTCTCCCTCCTGGCACTTCTTACCATTTGTGACACATGTTTGTTTTCTTGCTAAATGTCTCTTCACCTAGAGCATTAGGTCCCTGTGAGCAGACAGCATGGCTGTTTTAATGTTGTGTTTGTCTAGCCCATGCTTGTCATTTTAGTAGATGTTTAATAAACATTCACTGAATGGAAGAACGGCTGAATATATGCAGGAAGTTTCTTTAGTTAATCGGTAACAAGAAAGCCCAGTTCCTAAAGAGGCCCCTCTTCTTTCCTGCCTTCTATGGGAACATTCAAGAATATGATAAGGTGTGGGGCACCTGTGTGGCTTATTCGGTTAAGTGTCAGACTCTTGATTTCAGCGCAGGTCATGATCTCACAGTTGTGGGATAGAGTCCTGCATCAGGCTCTGCGCTGACAGCATGGAGCCTGCTTGGGGTTCTCTCTCCCTTTCTCTGCCCCTCCCCTGCTCACTTTCGCTCTCTGTCTCTCAAAATAACAAAAATAAAAACAAACAAACATGACAAGGCATGTACGCAAAGCCAAAAACGTCATCAGCTCCGAGCAGTGAAAGACTGAATCATGACCAGTCCAAGACAACGGGGAACATGGGAGCTATAATTTAGTCATGCATCTGTCAGTCAACTGGTTATCAATTGCTGAACAAATATTTAGCGAGCCCTTCCCACATGAGTGTCTTTTATGTGAAGAGCTAGTCAAATCCCACGAATCCTTCAAAGACCTAGTTCTGGCACATCACCTTCCCCAAAGTCCCTCCTCCACAATTGCTCATCCCCTTGACCCCTTTCCTTTTGCCTTCTCACTTCCTTGAAGGTGAGTACCCACTCCAGCTGGCACCACTTCCACCCAGGGCTCTCACCTTGAACCGGGGAGAAGAACTTATAGATGAGAGGACAGTCCAAGACGACTACTTGGCCCAGAGAGGTGGCTGGCCAGCAGGTGAGGTTGTCCCACATCTTGCTGCAGCCTGAGGGGTGAAGGCAGAGGACACAGAGGTCAGCATGGCCACCAGGTGCTTCCAGCCTTGGGGCCTGAGCCCTTAGGCACCCACTCTGCTTCTTCCTCCAGGCTCCCACCTGGGGGAGCCTCCAGTTGGAGAGGTGTGACACTGTCCTGCCCAGGCTGTAAAGGGCCTGCTCTGACAGGGAATGGGGAGAAGGCATGACTCCAGATCCATGGCCCTCAGTGAGGGCTAGAGTGCTCCCTGGGGGTGTTTTGGACACTGGTGGGGTTTTGTTTGTTGCAGAGATTGGAGGCCTCACCTGGAACATGATGGGAGATATTCTGCAAGTGGAGTCTTCTGCAAGACTTTCAGATGAGCCACTGGGCCTTTGTGCAGGTGAAACTCTTTTGTAATGACCGGAGCCTAGACTCTGCCTCCATGTCTCATCTAAACACGAGGCACTTACCACAGAGCCTTAACATACATGGGGTTTTCCTGAAACACAACCAATAAAGGGAGATGTGCTCTGGGTACGTGCTTTGTCATATGCTGAACATTATTAAGAGTCATTCAAGGTTTGGAACATCACGTTACCTACAGCAATGTTGGCCATGAACCTGTGTCAGTGAAACAATTGCCGTGTGCATCAATCTACATCTATAGCTACCACATTCCCAGAGTTTAGATTTACAGGTACAACCTTCAGACTGTGTCTTCTTATTTTTTAGTGTGATTGTGCCTGAATATGTACATAGTATTTTACTATAAATCACTTTGCTTTTTATGTTCCTTTTACAACCAGAACTTCATTTACAAGAAAAATGAAGGCCCATGTCCTGAATTTCATTTTATAGTAAAGGAGACCTTAGAAAACATTTGCTCTAAAAGGAGGTGTTGGGGATGATGGGATGGTGGGTATATTGGGTTTCGGCTAGTTCTCGGGGAGCCTTCGTATAACTCAAAAAGGCAACATAGGTGCCTCCAACTCGGTCAAATGGTGACTTGTGCTGTGGGGTGGTGGTGTTCAGGATGTGAGTGTAGGGAAATCCCTGCACTGCAGGCTGTGTTTTCCACCATGAACCTACTAGCCCTGAGGGCTGCCTAGTGAAGGGTGCACAGTGGAGTCCATAGGGGGCTGCTTTAATTGGCAGATACATGGTTTTGCCTGTTCAGGGTCTGAGCACCCCTGAGGGGCTAGGACTCGCCTGGATCCCCTTCCATGGGGGAGGTTTAATTGTTTCTTTGCAACCCTGCCAGTCTCATAGATTTTTCAGGAAACCCAACCCCTGAGTCAAAGTCAATGCCAGCTCAGCCCAGCCCAGCCCAGCCCAGGTCCAAAGGTTCCTAGGTTCTCAAGAAAGGAGCCTGGGGAGAGGAGGTGAAAGGATGTCACCATGTGGGGGAGAGCCTCGGGACTCTGAGTGCTGGGGTGACCTGGTGTGGAGGAGGGGGCTGGGGGGGGGAAGGGCTGGTGGGGGGAGGGGATCTTTGGGGACTGCAACAACCACATCTGCGGCTGAAGGCTGAGAACACCTGCATCTGTGGGGCCCAGCCAGAGACCACGGCCTCCCTTCCTTGGGGATCCCAAGCTCTTCTGTCCACTCCATCATGAGGCTTCTGTGGCCTTACTCTGGTTCCCGGCCCCTTCCCTGCTCCTGTGCCAGCCTCTCAGGAGGCCACAGAGGGGCTCATCATGCCAGGCAAATCCTGCTAGTGGTTCAGGACCCTATTGATAATATCAACAAATACTTAGGTAGCCTTTGTAAGTAGGAGGCACTCTTCTATCCTCTTTATTTATTTTTTTTTAAATGTTTTTTTTTTTTATTTTTAGGAGAGAGAGAGAGACAGAGTGAGCGGGGGAGGATCAGAGAGAGAGGGAGTCACAGACTGAAACAAGCTCCAGGCTCCGAGCTGACAGTCAGCACAGAGCCCGACGCGGGGCCCGAACCCACGAACCACGAGATCATGACCTAAGCGAAAGTCGGACGCTTAACCGACTAAGCCACCCAGGCGCCCCCTATCCTCTTTAAATACATAACTGATTTAACCTTTCCATTTTACAGATGAGTAACTGAGGCAGGGAGCAAGTAGGTAACTAGCCCAAGGTCACATCGCTGGTGAATGGTGCAGCCTGTTCACAGGTTCATATGCTCCCTTGCCAGCAAACCTCGCACTCTCCTCCTCTTCTGAAGGGCTCGATGTCTGTTCCCTGGGGAATTTTGCCCTGCTGGACCCTGTTTAGCCGTCTCAGACAGTGCCTGGCACACCTTGATTTGTAGGCCAGCTATTGTGTCTAAATCCTCACCAGACTTAGAGCTCTCTGCATCTCCAGCCACCGCATAGTCGGCCGGTAGGTTTGGAGCTGGGTCTCTGGCCCTGAGGTCGGCTTCACCGGAAGTGACACAGGGCAAGGGAGACAGGGCACTGCCCTTGGGTGGGGAGCTGCACTCGGCCTCAAGGAGTCTCAACACCACCAGGACTGGGCTGTGAACTGTCCTGGGGTGCAGGCCAGTGAACACAGCAGGGGACCCTGTGAAGAGAGGCCACTAGAGGCGTGCGGTCAGGGAAGATTCCTGGAGGAGGCAGCAGAGTCAGGAAACTGAGAAGGGAGTAACAGCCAAGAAAATGCTAGAGCACCTGGAGGGCTCGGTTGGTTAAGCATCAGACTCTTGACATCGGCTCAGGTGATGATCTCACAGTTCGTGAGTTTGGGCCCCAAGTTGGGCTCTGTGCTGACAAGTGTGGAACCTGGTTGGGGCTCTCTCTCTCTCTCTCTCTCTCTCTCTCATTCTTTGTCTGCCCCTCCCCCACTCATGCTCGCTCACTCTCTCAAAATAAATAAGTAAACTTAAAAATAAATTTTTAAGGGTGCCTGGGTGGCTTAGTCGGTTAAGCGTCCGACTTTCGCTTAGGTCATGACCTCGCGGTTCATGGGTTCAAGCCCCGTGTCGGGCTCTGTGCTGACTGCCAGCTCAGAGCCTGGAGCCTGTTTCAGTCTGTGACTCCATCTCTCTCTGACCCTCCCCTGCTCATGCTGTCTCTCTCTCTCTCCTAGAAATAAATAAAACATTAAAAAAAAATTTTTTTTAATCAGAAAAAAAAAATGCTGGCTGTCTGGAGAGACTGTTGTCTTGGGTTGGGCCTCAGGAATCTTCTCTGTGTGCCTGAGAGAGAGGCCCATAAGCCCAACCACACATGTCCCCAGGCCCATAGAGAAACAGGGCTCTTCTTGGCCGTGTGTGCCCCTTCAACAAGCAAGACAGCCTGGAGACCAGGGTGGGGTTAGTGAGGCAGGGTGGGGGCTGGCTTCCACTGTGCTGTTTTATAGGTATGTGTGCACTGAGAGACACACAGCCCAGCAACCCCAGGCACATAGAACCACAGTCATACATGCAAATATACATACACGAATGATTCCTTGGACAAGGGAAAACCAGACACAGGCAAAAAGAGGCACAGAGAGACACATGCAGCTCACAGTCACGCACGCATAGACATGAGTGGGCACAGAGCAGATATTCACACTCGTACATCCACGATCACACACAGACGACACACAGACAACACATGGAGACACAGCGCACCAGGCAGACAACCCAGGCATGTCCAGGCTTATGCGGACACATGCTCCTGACACACAAAGACACTCAGAGTCAGACATCGAGCTTGCAGACCCCAGAGGCCCAGGCAGCTCCAGACAGACATGAGCCGGGAGCACACACCTACATGTGCATGAACATGCCCAGAGCCCCACCCACACAAGGTCATGGGCAGACTCACTTGCCCTCGTCTGGATCCCAGGCTGCCTTCCCAGTGACAGGATTTTGGCACCCAACAGGCACCCTGTGCCAGCAATTACCTCACTGGGATCACGAGGATGGCTTTCCTACGGGGTGTAGGAGGCAGTGCCATGGGGGGCCTAGATTTGGGGTCTGGGCCTCTCTGGGGTACGTGCACCCCGGATCCTACTGTTGGGGGTTGCTGAGGATGGTCCACCATGTCTCCAGCCTCTCTGACCTGGAGGGTAGGACAAGGTGCAGAGGCAGTGGGTGGTCTGGCCACCCTTTACCCAGGTCTTGAGCTTAAGGCCTCTGGCGACAGGAGCCTGTCCTTCCTCAAGAGCTGGGGAGGTAAAGACCATCCGTGAGGCTAAACACACTCACTTCTGGTGCAGGAAGCAGATTCTGGGCACCAGGGCCAAGAAAGAGGGATCCAGGAAGGGTTGCATAAATGTCAATCTCTGAGAGGTGACAGGAGACGGGGAAGCTTGGGACATGTAAAGATGTTTCTGCTCCAAGCAAGGCTGTTACACAACTGCAAGTTTGGCCTCAGGGAGGTAACCTGATAGAGAGGCCCAGAGCAGGCACATCCACCCAACTGCTCCAGCCCTACTCTGCCCTCAGTGAGCCTTGAACTCCATACCCTCCCCCAATCCTGAGGGGCAGTCTGCCTAGGCACCTCCCACCATCCCAGCTTCTCTGCTTCTCCATGCCCTGCCCACCCTTCAGAATCTGTCCCAAGGGCACCTTTCTTTTTCTTTTCTTTTTTTTAACAAAGAGTTTATTGTCAAGTTGGTTTCCATATAACACCCAGTGCTCATCCCCACAAGTGCCCTCCTCCATGCCCATCCCCCCCTTCCCCTCCACACCCACTAGTCCTCAGTTTGTTCTCAGCATTCAAGAGTCTCTCATGGTTTGCCTTTCTCCATCTCCCCCACTATTTCCCCCCTTCTTCTCCCCCATGGTCCTCCGCTAAGTTCCTCCTAATCCTCCTATACGTGCAAACATATGGTATTTGTCCTTCTCTGCCTGACTTATTTCGCTCAGCATAACACCTTCAAGGTCCAACCATGTTGCTACACATGGCCAGATTTCATTCTTTCTCATTGCAATGTAGTATTCCATTGTATAGATAAACCACATCTTCTTAAACCATTCGTCCGTTGATGGACACTTAGACTCTTTCCATGTTTTGGCTATTGTTGAGAGTGCTGCTATGAACATTGGGGTACATGCACTCCTATATGCCCAAGGGCACCTTTCAAAGGAAGGCCTCCGGAATCCCTCCCATTCCTATCTCAGCTGTGGTGTGGGGCACCCAGGGTAGGGAGGGGTCATCGGAAGTGCTGGCCTTGCCGGCTCCGGGAACTTGGGCAGCCTCCGCCCAAGGGTGCCTCTGGCGCCACCCATCAGGTCCTCATGCTACCAGACCAGAGCTCTCCCACACCCCTGAGCTGGGCCTGCACGTGCTCGGCCTCTGAGTGTGACTGTGACTTGTCTCACCAGCTGCACAATGAGCAGGTGGTTCACCTGGCCTGATGACAGTGGGTTGGGATAGGGAGGGAAGCCTGTGTGCCTCGAGGCCTATGTG